AATTAAACTAATTAAGTAGGCTCAATGAGAACTCGAGAGGGGTAAGTTGAATACAATAGAAGAATTCGACCGAACACTACCTTAGGTTTTATGAATCTTGATTTATGAATCTTGATTTATGAAGTAAAGGAGACCAATAGGTGAAATTGTTCCGCCCTAACGTCCATGTATTGTTTGAATTCTCAATCACTTTTCATTTAATCCAATCACTTTTTTAAGTCTTTAGAATAAAAATCACATTTAATCATTGTTTTTGATTTACATTCGTCAAATAGTAGTTAAAGAAAGATTAAATTAAGTGCTACAAAATAGTCCTCGTGGGATCGATAACCGGACTCTTAGGTCCACTATTACTTGTTACGGATCGTACACTTGCGAAACAAAATTTTACAACATAATACATAAAAATGACGTAAAGAGAAGAACAAATTTCCACATTTAGTAATATTACAGATCCACTGACAAAGAGTTGTCGTAGTATAAACATGATCGTCATGTAGACTTATTATATTGGATACATAAGTGATTGGATCTAGTGCAAGTGGGAGTTTGTAAGTATTATGCCCTAGGTCCAATCAATTTTGGACATAAATACTTTTATATATAATTAATGCAATTAAATGGTAGATCTATTATTTAATTAATAGACAATTTAATAAATAATAGAGTCCGTAGATTCAAATCTTTGTAATTTGTTAATCACAAGGAGTTGTGATTGTGAGATACAAATTACATCTGATTGAATCTTAAATCATCCGTGGTCGTAAGTAATAACGAGATACGGATATCGTTATTACGGATAGATCATCACGTGTGGCATTTCTTACTTGTGAAGTAAGTAGCTGATCTCCCAAGCTAAAGTGTGGTGACACTTAAGTGAACACGTGGATGTTTTGTTGTAGAACAAAACATTGGAGACCCGTCGAGAGATTCCACATGGATAACTATCTGAGTGTCAGTGGTTAATCTCCAACGTTCGGTAGTGGAATTGGTCCTTTGACTTGAGGTCGTCATGGTACCTTATATGAGGACAGTCATACTTTGGCGGTGTTGGATGTTGCTCTGAAAAGGGCCGCTAATACGATATCGTTCGGGAACGTCAAGAATCGTATGATGGTTGTGATTGATCAATAAAGGATTCGTCACTCTTAGATAGTAGGAGATTATGATCTGCGTTTCATTCAATTAAGTCGATGATGAAATCCTTGGCCCAGGTGTACTCATAAGTCGAAAAGGAGTTTTCGATTTATATTGACTTAATAGTGGAGTGAAAGATATGATCGATGATCGAGATTGACACAACTCCATATCTCGTAATTGATCGGATCATATTGATGAAGGGATTATAGTTTCACGATAAAGGAACGAATTTGGTTTTGTCATACCACGTGACAATTCCCGTCACATGTATTGCCCTGACACATTGCTAGATATCAATCAGGGACGACGAATGTGAATTGACGATAAATTAA